CAGCTCTCCTTTCTCTCTTTCTCTCTAATTTTTATATTTTCGTTATATTTGTGTCCCAAAGCACAAACATTCACACATACAGGTTAGTATGAGAACAAATATAAAAATCAAATAAGCAAAACTATAATAATAGTTCATATAAACGCGTCTAAATGACTTCATATTTTTAATTTTACAAATATTTGATTGAATGTCAAGTAAGAAAAAGGAATATTTTAGACGACTGCTTTCCAAGAATCTCGCCTCATACATCCATCCATGCATGCGTACATTATTTCATCTTTTTAATCCGACCAATTTATTTCAATTTATTTTAAGCTCATCAAAATTTTACTTCATAATAGTATTTTAAATTATTTTTCTGCATGTTCATGGACGGCAAATTATTATATATGGCAGTCATTTAATAATATTCTACCTAGTAACAAATTATTATTTCAATTTGGTCAATTATTTTCATACATTACAGTGAGTGACACTGTCAACAAAACGAGTATTTCAGTTTATAAAAAAAATGTCATTGATGACACAAACTTCTCAACCCAGCGTAAAAATTTATACATGTAAACTTGTTTTTTACGTGTTGCGTATATCGTATGTATACGTATGTGTGTGTTGCGTGTCTGTATGTATGTGTGCGTGTCTGTATGTGTGTGTGCGTGTGTGTGTGTGTGTGTGCGAGAATTGGACGGAGCAAAAAAAAACTTGTACATGTGCATTGTAGTGGTATCCTTCTTGCAATAATTAAGTAGAGGATTAATTGTTAGCAACTTGCCTTGAATAGACGCCAGCCAGCCAGCCACACACGCACAAGTAGCCAGCCAACCAGCAACACTAGCAGCCAGCCAAACAGCCACACAAGCAAAGAAACTCGAGTTAGGTTTTTTCGTTTTTTTTCTTTCCTACATTGTGTCTGGATTAACTTTCTCTCTATGGTCACCAGTATTTCAATGTTCGTGTCTTTTTATTTGAAAAACATTTTTAAGCAGAAAATATTCGGATGTTTCTTGGCGATTGTTTCTTTGTAAGTTGAATTTCAAGGTTTTGCAATTTTTTAACTTGCTACTAGGGCTAGATTTCTAGATTTATTTTACCCATACAGCCTTTTTTTTTGCTTCCAAAGTCGAATGAATAATTTCTTTGAAATATTTTACATTTTTGTGTTATATAAGCGTTTGTGCGCTGACGAGTTCGATCGCTCCACTCTAACATTGCATGTTTCAATATCACCATACAACATTCTGTGTATCTTGTTTGCATATTCGCACGTGTTTATCATCACGAGGGTGTTTGTGTATGAGTCAGATGTTTGGCGAATACGTTGGTGTGCTGGTAGGTAGGTAGGATGGGTAAGTTTTGTGTGATGGTTGTACCAAGTTTGTGCACTGCGTTTAGTAAATGTTATGTTCTTTCTGTTGACTTAGCGCAATTTTGTCTTTTGTATATTCAAGCATTCCTTTCTGCACGCAATTATTTTTCTTGTTTGCTATAAATGTTTGTTCTGATGTCTGTGAATCAGAATAAACTCTGTCCCTTTTCCGCTTTTTCGTTCACATTTTCGTTCGTTCTTTCGTTTGTTTGTCAGTTTGTTCGTCTAATCATTTGCTAATTTGTTCGGTTGTTCGTTCATTTTGTATGAGAATATGTTGGACAATCAAGCATTCAATGTTTGAAGTATGTTGATGTATTGATATATATTCAGCGGCGGATCTAGACAACTTTGACAGGGGAAGGGACAAAATATGAATATGTTTAAGATTTCACGCAGGGGGCCAAAATTTTTACCGGGGGGCTAAGAACTGTAGTAGTGTGGCTGACGACCTTTCCCCGCCATCCTCTAGACCCGCCACTGTATATATTTATAGTTGCATATATAAATATATGAATAGAGAAGAAAAAAAAAGAGATGTAAGAAAATGTCATGTAAGAAATATTTATAGCTCAAGAATATGACATATGGAATAATTATTTGTATATTGCGTGCGTTGTTTATCTACCCGAGACATGTTGCCTCTCGGATGAAACGTTTGTTATTATTTCATAACGATCTTATTGCTTGTAAATATTGAATGTAAAGAAAAATGAGGAGAGAGAGAGTTACTCTCAAATTTTGAAAGATATATGAGAAGAATAATTTTAAAGAATACTTTCTACTCAATCGAATCAACGATACACTGATGGCTTTTGAAGACGAATAGTCAATATATTTTTTACCAATTTTTCAGCAGATGTATATACAAGTTTCAACATTAATTCATACGCTAAGAATATTTCTTTTGCATTTGCACATATTTTTATACAGAAATCATTCTCACATTTTCTCCCCAAACACATTTCCGAGTTTCTAAAATTCACCCACTCTCTCACACGTTACCTCCCCGCAGAAGATGTGATGAGATATTAATTTTTGACTGAGTGTTACAATAAGAAGCTCACTGATGTACGCCATTGCGTTCGTTTGCCTTCGTAATGTTGCGCATATGCTGGTGTTGTTGCGTAATTTTTGTTGTTTTCTGTCTTTGTTTGTGTTGTTGTGTGTGTGTGTCTTTAATGGCTGTATCAACTTTTGTACTGTATAGAAATTCGCATATGTTGTTGCTATACCGAAAATATTGTTTGCTTTATTCTTATTATCAATCGTTAAAATTTGTTTCTTATTAAACCAAAATTTAAACTTTTTGTTTTATAAAATATCGTGTTTTATATGAGAATGTAAATTTTGTAAGAAATTGTCAATTAATTCAAAACTTTTTAAACCTTTCCTCTATAAAATATTTCGGTTACACCACTGACAGCTATGATGTCTAGTGTTGAGTCTGGAATATTCCAAGCTAGCGAATTTCTCACTAAAATTAATCCAAGTTATATTAAATAACTATTTTTGAAACTTTAGAACTTGAACATCAACAACGACCTTCCCCTCAAGAACATCAACAACAAGAACATCAACAACATCAGCGTGTACACATGACTATGTATTAATGTAATCCATGAAGGACAATAAAAACACCTGCACTCCTTCCTCTGCACATACATCCAGAGCCAGCAATATCAGCTTCCAATCTAACATAATACCGCCGTGAAGAACGGTAACGAGCAGTTAGACAACAGTAAAAATCATTCGATAGCAGTCGGTCCAATCCGGGCCCGTCCAGTGCATCATGTCTTCCAAGTGGCGATATTGTTGAGGAGTTCTCTCTACATGTCTATGCGATTTTCCCATCCTACTTTGTTTACTCGTTAACCATTCTCTGTTCATCTGTTTGTACGCACATTGCTTCTATCTGTCTATCTGGTAATCTCTGCCTGCTCGTCTGTTTCTCTCCTCGCCCCGCATTTATTCCTAACTCTCTGTTCCATGCTATTTTCAACGCTGGGCGACGTCGATTGAAAATAATTTAATAGGATTTTAATGCCTGATATGACGTATAAATGTATAATACGTTAGACGTGACGTCATTATGGGATGCATATTTTCATGCATTGGATGAAGACTTTTGAGACGACGTTTGTGTGACGATCGTGTGCAAAAATAATTTAGCCTTTTTAGCATTTAATCAAAATTGTTTCAAATATCAACGAAAGAGATATTTTGGTGAATTAGCGACCAAAAATTAAAAAGTTTGAAACTTTCGTAAGCATTCAGATTCTTATTTGTTGGATCCAACATTGAAACTTTGTTAACAACAATAAAAAAATTAACGTGCTTATTTATACAGAATTAATTCAAAAAATTTTTCATAAAATGCCCACCACTGCAAATAATTTTGAAAAAATGCGTCTGAGCATCAAATGTGATTTGCATTGGATGAGAGTGATGTGAAATGTCTGATATGCAGATGAGGTGCGTGCTTGTGTGAGGCACTCTTCAAATTGGACGGCATGGGACGGCCATCAGACGACATTGGAAAAAAATAACTAAATGACGTATTAATTATAAACGTGTACATTTTTCCAAAAAGATAATAATTGAACTTTTTCCACATAGCATCACATTTTAGTAAATAAACTGTACGCTTTGTTTTAATAATGAAAACTTCATTAAAACATAAAAACATTTTGAGTTAGAAATTTTTTTTGGTTAGAAAAGTTGAACTTCACTTATACCTCTGACACAGAAAGTACAAACAAGGACGCACGCGAACAAAAAAATATTTCCAATTAACCATAAATCAACCTCTGCCTGAGTCGTTTCGTGGAAAATTTCTCACGGCAATGGAACAGAAAAAATGAAATGAATATTTTTTTTAGCTAACAAAAATTCTTACATCTTTTACAGAAAAAATTAATTGATAATCAACAATTTTTAATGAAAATTGTCTCAAAATGCTTTTACAAACAAATCATAACCTATTTAACCTTAACATATTTATAAAATTTTAAACATCTCATCAATGAAAATTAACGAATAGTCTACGTCCACTTATATACACGCACGCACGCACAAACACGCACAAGCAAATACACACAGAAACAAACACAAACCAAAACACACAAACAAAACACATGAAGGCCTAAAACAACTCAAAAAGCGACTGGACTTCACAGTGTGAAGTTTATATGCACTTGATAAAAACTTTAATTCACACGCATATAATAAACGATAATTGCTATCAATGGATGAACAACTTAACAAAACATCGGTAAAGTATACAATCAAAATTAAAGACATTTTAAGAATTTTTCATGAAATGTTCCAATCAATTTCATCCATTAGCGACCAAAATACATTAACAAACATTTACAAACTACACAGAAATTTTAATTTTCATTTCTAATCCCATCACCGTTAATCTAAATAAAATTAACAAACATCCAACACCAGCTAGCTCCACACCACATGTGAATGTTTAATTACTATTTGCCAACGTACACTGAATAAATGCTAACAAAAATGAGACTAATACTCCTGACCAGCATTGTGTAAATGAATATTAACAGAAATATCTCAAACAGCCCATTTTCATATTTCTACATGTTTGATTTAAGGCGTCCAACGCATGCAGTTCGTATCTCATGTACTCTCTGACGTACCGGAAAAGAGATATTCACCCAGGCGCAATGATTTACCCGCGTTCTGGGAAGACGTAATGATGTAATTAGTTGTGGAGTTAATAAGGATTGAAGTTTTAACTGTATTACTGTGGCGATTTTACGTTTATTAAGTAATTATTCAATTGATTAGTTTGTTTATTAATTAACTAAATCCATCATTCGATTGTTAGTTATTTGTTTCTAATCAGTTTTAGCTATCAAGTGTTTATTAATTATGCAAAAGTTTTTGTTTTATAGAACAGTTTGAAAGTTAAAAGAAGTATCTAACTTTTGATTATTCGTAATATTTTATTATGAATCCTTTTAAATAATTATCATATACAATATACATGTACAATTTTGTGATAATATATGATACTATAAAAATTGGATAAATAATTTATCAAATTAAATTTTTCCAACAGGACCTGATAAAGATATTTGCAATGGGTTGGTCGTTCTGCAGACATCGCATTGAGGTTGGTTCATCCTATGTCCATTAATTTTCTACAATTTCAACCTCGTTTGAATGGTCCCTTTTCATCATTTTTTTCATCACTATTCGTCCAGTCTTACATAATTTTTTCATGTTTTTATCATTTTTTATCATCTGCCTGACAATTATCATTAATCTTCATAATTTATTTGTCATTAATCATCATAATTTTTTCATTATTTATTCATCATTAATTTTCATAATTTATTCATCATATTTCATCCTTTTTTCATCATCTATTCATCATATACTCGCCATCTATTGATTGATTTTTTGATAATTTGTTCATCATCCTGTTTAGCTTAATCAAGTGATTGTTATTGTCTTACTGTTTGATATACAGTTTTAAAATGCTTCAATTTTATTCCATGTCTGTTAAATTTTTAACGACTTTTGTCTTGAAAAACAATTTTAGACTTTAATTTAATTATTATCATAAAAAAATTTAACAGGCAAACAAAATCATACAGGTGAATAAGAAAGTTTAATAATTCTAAACTGCCTGAAGTTGAGAAAACATTAAAAACAATAATTATACAATCTTATCAATAAAAAACAAACCTATCAAACAATCAATCAGCTGACCAACCAACAGACCAACTAACTGACCAACCAAACTGACCAACCAGCCAGCCAAGAAAAAAGTGCATTTATTATCTAACCTTCATAGCGGCAAAGTAGGGGGTCATCTCATAGAAACACCTTGCCACAAAGTAGAAAGCCATTTATTGAATAGCCATGAATAACAAGCAGCCCGCGCCGAATGATTTATGAGTCTAATAGATGCCAATTTTTCTTCGTGACATGAATTCATCATTTGTAATTACCTTTTAAGTTTCTCAAAAATATCTTCCTACTGCTATTTTCACTCTTAGTTTGTCCGGTAGTTTAAATTTTCAGAAAGTTAAAAAAAATATCTGACGATATCTTAATATGTAACTAGGAATTTAGAAGATTTAAAAATTTAACTAAAAACTGTAGTTGCAGCAGTGCTAACCAAACAATGCAAAACAACTTGATGTGCTACTATTTAGCGTAATAACACAAACGACAACGTACATAGTGAATGTATCCTATGTCAAGACGCAAAGTCTGTCAAAATCACTTTGTGAAATGTTGAAACAGTATGTAGGAGAATTAAATGTTTATATTCGTTTTAATTGTACATAGTACAGTAGCAATATTTAGATATGATTCATTTTAATTTTGTTTTGACTGGAAGTTACTTAAGGTAATTTTATTTATTCACTTTTGCTTTTGCCTAATTTGATGAAATGCCATAACCATCATCACTTACCCCACCATGATTTTTATTTTGTTAATCACCTTAACTTTAAAAGTCACTTTAATCATTTTAAAATCACGTTAATCATTTTAATCACTAGATGTAGAAACCTTTCCTATTAAGAACTTCCTCATCTTAGCCACTCTGCCCAGAAAATATTTGACTCAATCAACATTTTTAACATTTATCATTTTATAACTCTTTAAAAAATCAAATCCTGATAGAAGCAGAATTTGTCACAGCAGCACGTGAATTGACAAATAAAAATATAATAAAATAAAGAAAACACCACATCATCATCTCAATCCCTTCACTCACAAACACCACACAGTTATCATCTCACCCATTTTTTACTCACTCGCACCAGATATTTGACGCGATCATCATCGCCTCATCATTCGCCATTGACCTCATCTTTCTTGGGGGAGTTGCTGGCGAGGAAGGCCAAAAAGCGGCAGCAGTCCTGGTCATCTTGCTGTTGTGGAGGATCGCCAGAGTTGTTGATGGTCAGTGAAAATTTATTTGTTTGTCTGTTCATCTGTCTGTCTGTCTGTATAGTTGTTTATGTGTTTATTTACTTCTTTATAATGTACTGGCCTAAATCTACTGCCAAATAATTTACAATACAATATAATACAAATCTATCAGAATTTCAAAAATTGTCATTCGCTCAAGAACTATTTTTCAAAAACGCACGAGAAGTTGGATTTTTAATTGATTCAAATTTGATGTTCGATTGATAAATCATTCATGGCTAATCCGTTGAATTTCATAGCTGGTTAATTTTTTGACTGATTGGTTGATTGATCGATTGAGATTGATCGATTGATTGTTTGTTTGTTCATTTTTTATTTGCATCGAAGTTTCTCGTCTGAAGTTTTAAGATTTATTGCGCTGTTGAAAATTGAATGTTTTACATGTCTTGTTTGTGCTGTTGTTTTTTTATGTTTTATGTTTTATGTTTATTGGTTAATGTTTGTTTGTTTGTTTGTTTGTTTGTTAGAGTGTGTTTGTTCCTAATGTAACTGTTAATTATTTTTTTGTATGTTTACGTTTTCGTAAGAGCGAAAGTTTATACTATACGTTTCTATTTCTGCACATGTTGTGTGTGAATGGCTGCTTTTATATAGGTTTGTTTGTGGTTGTTTTTTTTTATTTCACTTTCTTTTATGTCTTGTCTTAGTGTACGCTCCATACCAATTGTCACATACGATGTTGACTGGTCATGTGCTGATGACCAGACGTTTATTGTCTCCAGTTTTGTTCTTGTGCGTGTGTGTGTCAGTATGTGTGTGTCTGTGTGTGTGTCTGCGTGTGTGTGTGTCTGCGTGTGTGTGTTTGAGAGAGAGAGAGAGAGAGAGAGAGAGAGAGAGAGAGGGTAGAGAGAGAGAAGAGAAAAGTTGTATGTTGTGGATATGCCGTGTGTGTCTTGGTGTGCATGTGCTGTGCATTAATATAAGAGGATTCAAATGCATGTCTTATTTATGCATATTTTAGTTTTTGTATGTTTAACATTTTTTGCATATGTTGTTCTGCACGCTTTAATTTAAAAATAAATAAAATTTTTCAAAAATTTTTCACACACACACACCATATAAGCACACACACACACGCATTTGTATAAATATAAGTCTACAAAAATGCAAAAGAAGAAGATAAGAGGATTCCGGGCTGGATAATGTATTTGACTCAAGAGGTGCGCGTGTTGTCAGATTGCTTAGAAAAACATTGCATTCCAAAATCTCAAAAATAAAATAAAAGTATAAACCCCAGTTATAAAAGTAAAATGGACGTTATAACGTCAATTATGGTGTCAATTCTGGTAACAATGGTAATTTTGGTAACAACAAAACATTAGAAACCTTGACAACTATATAAGACGAATTCAGTAACCCTAAACGATGGTAAATGTTCACCAACAAACAAAATGCCACGGCGTGCCATTATGTGAATGCTCAATAAAAATGTTGTGAGCTCATAAAATTGTCCGGGACGCAATAAAGACTGCAGTTGTGATAAGAACGACGTCCTAGACGATTACTATGAGGAAGTATGTGTCTATGGATTTCTAATAAAATAAAATAGGTTATAATTCTTTTACGATCTGTGTCTTTATGTGGCTGTTGTTCTGGTAAATAAAATTGAAAATATGCTAAATGAAATTGTTACAATTATCACAGATATGTTTTAAATGATATTTATTTATTTATTTTTTTTAACTATTTACTTATTTATTTATTGAAAAACTAACCAGAATTAAAAACAGAATCAAGTGATAAATCGATTTAAAAATTGAAAACTTGGAAAAACAAATTTTAATGAATTAAAGACGTTTTAGTATAATATTTTTGTGTGAAAACCACCTCTGCAGGTATCGTAGTCACGATGAAGCAACGCCAGGAGTTCAGGATCAGACTTCAGAAAAGAGCCAGGAGGACAGCTGAAAGGAAGCTAGAATCATACGAAAGCGAAAAGCAGTCTAAGAATGTTAGTTGGCTGGCTGAGAATGTTAGTTGGCTGGCTGAAAATGTTGATTTTATAAAAACCAATCTTTTTTCATTTCCTAAGTTTACATTTTTCACTCATATGTTTGGGAATATTTGTGTTGTGTTAATTGCATGAGGAGAGTATTTATGATTGTCTGCGTTAGAAAAATTTTGTGGTAACAAAGTTTGTAGCTATAATTAATAAGGCCACTTGTCCGAAAATGTTGTAGTTGTTGCTATGATATTTTGATGTGATGAACCTTTGGCAGAATGTTATTATTGGATTTAAATTTTTGTATTTGTTTTTATATAGATGTTCTTTTATTTACTGTGACAAATGTAAAGAATCAAATTTATTTTTTAAAGATATTTTTACCTTCAGTTGAAAAAACTTGAGAGTTACTGACCTACGATGTTGCTGGCCGCTCAGTTATTCAAGTTTATCATTTCGATCCATGTTTTATTTAACTTCATGTGATGGAGTTTTTAAACATTCTTCGTCATACCATGCAGATCAAGTTTTAAAATTTTTCAAATTTTCTTTCCTCTCAAAATACATTGTTTTTCCAATCATGTTACGCTTTCAAATGTACTGAAGTCTAAAAAGTGTCAGAGTTTTTTTTTAAAGAAGCGATCAATGTTTTGATTGCTGATATGAATTTAACGTGTTTAATGCCAAGATTCGTAACTAAATAATAA